ACAGCCTTGCCCCGCCTTTGATCCTGAAACCTGTGGCTTCGCTAGCCGGCAGGGTATGATGACACCAAAAAACTTCCGAACTGCCAGAGGTATGACCAAGCCCCGGCACAGCTGGTTTTCACGCACCCAAAATGCCTTCAGGGCGAGCCAATTAATGGCCAAGAAATGCTTCTTCTTCGCAGGGAAATTGCGTAAGCCCGCGGGGACGTCCGCCACGTGGTAGCCGATGGCGACTAACCACCGTCCCGCAGCAGGTCTAAGCTCGAGCTGACGGAGTGGCCCGCAAAGCCCACAGTGCCCACGGTGCCTCGGCTTAGCCTTTCTCCAAGTGCAAGAAGATGGGATGTCGATTTGAGAGGCGTCGCCCTCCGGCGCAAGGAGTTAGAGGTTAATGAAACCCATGTTGGCTTTGCTCACAACGGATCCGAGAAAATCTTGCAAGCTATGCAGATGCGCTTTCCTAAACGGTTCTTGAAGTTATGTCAGCCTTTCAAAGCTCGACTTTGGAAAAGATTCATTCTGTGTCTGCGGTTAGCTCAAACAAGACAGGCTCGCTGATCATCTACGCTTTCAAGTGCAGACTCGGAAGGAGTGGACACCCTGCACGATGCGGCGCCTCGGTGCACCCACGCCGAACACTTGGCAAGACTTCTACCTCAACTAATTATCGTTTCGATTGGTAACTTCAACTTATGCACAAGCCCCTGCTGCTCGGTCTCTATTCAGCGGCTTGCTCTCCAAAGCAAGGCTCAGCGCCGGGCTGGCACGTGCAAAGACACTTGCAGCATGGTACTCAGGACTCTGTAAGGCTCGTATGGGCTTGGCGGGTATGAAAAAGTGGAAAGGAGAAGGGCGCGAAGGTTCCCTGCATGGGAATCTCCAGAGTCTGGGCCTGTCAGAAATGCCCGGTATTGCAGGCTGCGACAGAGCGGGTCACGCATTCGAGGCCGGCACTGCAAGAGCACCTCCCGGGCGGCCCAAGACGATGCTGGTGCCTGTGAAGGAAGACATAGTGAGGAGACGATTAGGCCCACAGCATCTGCAAGGGCAGCAGATGCAGCGGCAAAAAGAAAGCGAGCAGGCAGAGTGCTGATGGGTAAAGATTGGCGGCTGGCGTGCTCAAGCGCCAGCAACTGGGCATCTAAAGCGCTTGCTGAGCGAACCAGGCTCAGGAACTGCCCCAGCACGAGGATGCCAGGCCGAAGCAGTCCTTGGAGGGCGCAGGGGCGTAGAAGCACGAGAACGCGGAGAAGCTCTCTTCACATACGGAGAGCCGTGCAAGAGGTTGCAGGCACCTGTTTAACAGACACTGCCACGGCCTAACGGGCCAACCGGACATTCTATGTGGGCTCGCCTTGGGCATTCGCTTTGAACTTGTGTCAAAGCAATTATCAGTGGCAAGTGGACAGAAAGCTCGCATCTGCTTACAAAGCCATCGAAGCACACGCATCGCTCCGGCACTCCTGCATATCTGTTGCACAGGCTTGCGTGCATGTGGCAAGCAGGTGGGCCTGTCCTCGTCAAGAGGACGGAAGGACAAGACATGAACTGTGGTTTCTGCGCCAAGGAAGTTTCCAACAAGCAGGTCTGCTCAAGACACGAACCTACTCCGGCTCCTTGCCGAGGCAGCAGATGAACATGGGAAAAATGATGGGTAACATTCGCAAGACTTATGGGTGACATTCTGGAAACAATCTATCGACCAGCAGGTGCAACATGAAGCGCAGAGTCCAGGATGCACAGGCCTGGACTGGGTCCGGTTGCTAGACTGCCTGTCGCTTGGCAGACTCTCTGTGCGCCGTGGCCAATCTTGACGATATCGGTCATGCGGCCTGTCAGCAGGCTAGGGGCTTGGCACAGCCTCGACATGAGCGAGGCGAAAACGTCTTGGGGCGCCAGCAGCCTCTGCACGCACGGAAGCATGCTTGTGAGATGGGCCATTTCAGCAGCATCATTACCCGGCAAGCAGATTGCAAGGCATTTCTGACACTACATCCCGATGGCAACAAAGCATCGGTCCATCAACTGACACATCGCAGCAAGTGCTGGCTGCATGCCACGAATCAGGCACATAGCCACGGCAGCATGCCACCGAGTGCGACAGACACAATGCACACATCACAGCCTGGGTAGCCAGGCCACGCCTGAGCCTGTCTGCCACGGCTGACTGGTGGACTATGGTCTCACGCATGCCTTGTCAGGAGTTGCGTCTTCCGCTTCAGCTCATGCCGGGCCTCCGGCGGCTCAGGAGTGTGCACGCTGTGGTCGAGGAAGCGACGGTTGGCATGCAACCCCGCAGCGGCAATCGAGAGCGTGCAGCGAAAGTGCAACCAAAGAGGGCAACTCCAAGCGCGCCTTGTCGACTGCACCATCGCAACTTACTGCAGGACGCCTCTGGCACATTCCCCTCGCTGAAGCACAAGCGGGCTGCAACTCAGCAATGATGCCGATAGCCCTCTCTTTCTTGCTGGGCCGCAGACATCTATTCACAACCACCCCCTAGACACAAAGCAAGAACCCGGCATCAACGCAGCAGGACCATTCCTCGTGATCCCAAGCTTCAACCACACTTCTGTCGAGTGCTAGGGCAAGGGCCACGTAATTTCTGCCTTCGATGCCTTACCGGATGCCTTGCATACGTGAAGACTCACGAGAACAAACGAGCATACCGAACTCGCCCGGAAGGGTAAACGACGCTTTACCTGGAGTGGCATGGGCATCCGCCGGGAAATCATAAAGCAGGTGGATGAAAACCTTCGGTTAAGGGGAGAGGCCAACGGCAGACGAAGATGACACGGCCACATCCGTGATCTGGGAGGTACCGCCGCTTGGACAGGCCTGGGCGACCCCAAGACGCTTGCACCTGCAACAGAAGCGGCCAGGTGATGCCCAAGTCCAAGACCAGTGTGCAGTCGGCATCTGCGCAGCTTGCTGATGCTGGCCACGGACAGCACGACAGGAGAGACATGAACTTCGGAAAAGCACGGAATAACAAGGGACGCATGTTGCGGCTGACTGTCGATGTAAAACGGTTTTCAATTCGGGACGCCACTGATGGATGGCATTGCAAAAGCGATTCGGCAATCAGCCATGTAACCACCATGCAGTACGTCTCGGAAGTGCTCAGCATTGAGGAGCATCGCATTCTGCCAGTAGTAAGGCATCAACGTCAGCTCGGTGACTCGGGCATCAAACCATCTGGCAGCGGGTCCACCTCTGGTGTCAGGACCAGCGGCATTTTGGCGGCTAGCCATTCACTTCATCTGCGACTCAGGATCTCGGCACTTGCCGACGTCGGCTGGATCAGCTGGTCTCCATCACGCTCAGAAAGCAGGTCCGGTAAAGGTGGTTGCAGAACCTCAGCATCAGCAAAACATCGTGGAAAAGCTGCCCCAAAGCTGATCAGCCAACGACAAATCGTTCGGGTGATTTCGGTTCAAAGAGAAGCTTGGTTGAGGGTCGAACGCCGAACGCAGCTTCTACCTCACTCTTCTTGCGGCTCAGCAGCCTTGATCCACCGACGGGCTCTGTCAGGTCACATCAGCTCTGAGCGTCCTGCTGCCGCGGCATCTGCCTGCGAGGTATCATGGCAATGCACATCAAGTTCGACCTTTACGACCCCGGCGATAGCACAGTCCATCTTCTGGTCAGTCCCTGCCTCAGAAATTCAAAAGGAGGCAGCAGAAAATGACAACAAAAGATAACAGCCTTGAGCCGAGAGAATCATCCCCAACTCATCGCAAGGCAGCAACCAAAACTGGAATGTTTCGGGCTCGCTCCGCAGCGCACAGACACAGTGCCTTAGACTTTAGACCAAACCCTCAAACAGTGTCAGAGTTCTGGTGCCTTTATATAGATCGCTGCATGCGGGCTTCCAGAGTTTCGGTGTGTCAAGGCATGCAAGCTCAGGGTGGCGCAATGACCGTGCGACCTGCTTGGCTGCCAACCTGACCGGGTCCCCATGCTAGCTGCTAGATGCAATAGTGATGATACTCAACCCCTGCGACGACGAGCACCTCCTCCACCCCTCCTGCCCAACCGGACTTTACAGGGTACGGTCGTGATTTCCAGCAAGACATGGGATTCGTTGACAAACGGCACAAACCATCATGACCATCGTCATCATCACCCTGATAGTCATAATCCACATTACCAGCACCACCATCATAATCATGAATCATCATCATCTGGCACATTATCATCATCATCATCAAAACCATCACGAACTCATCAACAAATCATGATAAAATCATCAACCTCATGATCATATCATCATTCTCATCAACTGTTACCCGAATCTTCATCGTCAAAAACCAAATTATCCTCAGTTTCCGCAACCCTCAGCGCCATGGCCATCCTCGTCAACATGGCTACCAGGACTTCCCCATCATCATCACCAGTCTCATCATCGCCATCTCCATCGCCACCATCATCATCAGCAGCAGCATTATCATCATCGAAATCACCAACATCATCAGCATCAGCATCGTCGTCATCCCGATTTCGCAGGGCGTGGTCACATTCGCTACCTCATCCCCACGGAAGGCTTTTCCCAAGTCAGCGACAACCAGGGTAGCGGAGAGCATTAACAGCCCACGCTCGCAGATGCTGCCAAGTCATGCATTCGGGTGACGGATGCAGCAGGAAGCACACCAGAGACTGCCATGAACTTGGTTACGTTCCGGCCGTGCCTCGAGAGGGTACAACCAGTGCCGTCTTCGTGCGGCAATTGAAGAAATCTAGCTTGCAGTTTACGGAGGTCACGGTCACCGACAGAGCTGGCCGGCTGCTGTGCTGGCTTCCACTTGCAGACACGGCTTGGGAAAGGCTAAGATCCGGAGGGCCACTGGAAGGTGATGGGTGCGCTCGCTGCGCATCACAGCGGCATGAGGCCTCGTTTTCCTTCTTTCGAGTGAGAAACATGAGGGCATCCTACACCGGGGGGAAGTCAGCGAGAGTTGCTAGTGCAACGGGAACATCAGCAAAGTAAGGTCTGCGAAATGTGTCTCTGGCACCTCGCCGGCGACGGCGTGCGGTGGACAGACCTCCGCGCCACCCACCATTCTGACAACTGCCTGACTTTGCTGAATGCACCTTATGTTTGGAGTGCTCTTCTCGTTTCTTCTAGGGGCCGTCAGCTGAAGGCCTTCAAGGTGTCAATGCATAAACTTCCGGTGAAAGACGGAGGCCGGAAAGGCTTTCGATGCCTGACACCTGCCTCTTGGGCGGCTAAGCTTCGAGAACGTCAGCTTCACAGCTGCTTCCCGGCTCGCTGGCTTCTCATGGCAATGTGTGCCTTGCCGGCGAGCAAGCCACAAGCCGTGCCACAGCACACCCACACGTGGCCGTTGTATGCTGAGCTACTGCCTCGTTGCCGGCGCAGGACGGGACTGCCTCTTCAAGCCTGCGATGTTCCCATCCTGCGCCGCCGGGTTGCTGTGCGAGACTTTGGGGCCCTGACAGCAAGCAGCTTCCGGAAAGGGAAGCACCCCGCGGCAAAGAACCTGCGTGCATCTCTTCCGGGCCCCGTTGTGCAAGATCTCTGCACGCTGCAGGACGCCGCCGTGTGCGAAGTTAAGCTACTTGGTAGGTCTAAGGTGGAGTTCTCAAAGACTGGGATGGCAAACTGATGGCTGCCGACCGAAGGCGCAAACAGGTCCTCTGGCCCTCCACACCTTATACACCTTTGCTTTCGCAAGGAGTGTCCTGCCGAATTGAAGCAGCCGTCGACAGCGCAGCGCAGTGGGAATCAGGGTCCGGTTGACACAAAGGCCGGACAGGTCCGGCGCGCTCCGAAGACCAACGAAGCACCCGGACGGCAGGGCAGAACAAAGGTTAGGCCACGAGCGTGTTTCAGCATGCGAAGAGTTGACGATAGAGCTCCTGAGCTTTCGGCGACGGGCCGGGCATCGGGCAAGGTGCCGAGCCAGGCGAGGCATCCGCCGGCATACCCTCGCTCTAACAGCCACCTGCACTTGCTGGCCCCGTGTCCGTATCTGGGTCTGTGAACACCGAAGCATCAAGAGGCTGTCATGCCAATGGCTGGGCGGATCATTGCTCCAACGCTCCTGGACGCGATGAGGAAAAAAGGCGGAGAACACGTGGCGCCTGTCGTCGATGACTCGTCACCCGGGAACGGCACTTGCTGCAGGGGCTCTGGAGCAATCGCCGCTTTTTCATGTCATTATCGGTGACCGAGACGCGGAGCGACCACAAAGTAACTGCATCGTCAGCCATGCATGCGTGCACGGGCTCGTCACGGCTTGCTTAAGGGAGACACGGCCTGCATGCACACTCAGTGACTTAGTATAAGAGCGAGTCGAATTGCTATGATGCGCTGTGGAGGCATCCAAGGCTCCTGCGCATGCCTCTTGTCATGAACATGGACCTCGCGATCTTCCTTGGCGCGGGCATGCTGCAGCGGCCGACGGTGGTGGCACGGCCTTCGTACGTAGCAACGGAAGAGAACCCCAGAGACCGATGTCCGTGGAATCGGCGCTGCAAGGCAGGCCGCCTTTGCAAGCAGGGCGATTAATGCACTGAGACACCCCTGCCACCTTCAACCGACAAACTGTTCAGAAATCCTTTCCCCTCTCAAATGATGCTACAAGAACCTGGCGAGATGATTGTCCGAAGGCGAAGCCCGGGAAGAGTTTTGCTCTTCGGTGTTCGAAACCTCCCTCCTCTGAATCGATGCGGTGCTTGTTTGGCAAGAGCCCGGCGTGCATCTGGGACGCATGCGGCTGTCGAGGGAGAGCTGAGGAGCCTGGTTGGCACCGGGCTCAAAGGCCGACGTCTGTGCCCTCGATAGGCGCTCCGAGAAGACAAGTCCTGAAAGCCTCTCTGTCGGTCTTTTTACTGCAGCATTCTGCAGCACATGCCTCCCGAATCTCAATGCCCACGGAAGCGGTCTTCGAAAGGGCCCCGCAGCACGTGGACGGGCTGGCAAGCGCTGCCCGCCTGACCTGCAGACCTAGGCTGCAGAAAGCTCGATGCAGGCAAGGCATTGAGATCGCAAGGTGCTCTTGGACTGCACACAAAGCGCGGCCCTGACTTCGAATGCCATATTTTTGTTTGAGCAGCAAAGGTCGATACCTTGAACGTAGCATGAGGGGTCCCATGCTACACTGCTACACCAGGCAAACAACAGCTGTGGCGATCTAACCCCGAAGATGCAGTCTGGGCTGCGGTTGCGGAGCTGTCGAAGCCCCAGCTGAGCAACGCTGCAGGCAAACGTCAGCGGGAGGGTGCATGAACGGTCCGGACACAGGGCTATACATGCCGATGTCCGCAACATCGATAGGGAATGCAGATCCTTGCCGACAGCGAACACAGGGCTGGCAAGCGCAGTTTTGTCGAACCAAAATCTGGCAAGTGTCAAGAACTGCCGTGCTTCTGCTTGTCAAGCGCTTGGCCTGGGCACCAGGAAGCACCTGCAAGCCCATGGCGACATGCGCGTGTGATACCGTATTCACTTGTAGACGTTTGGGATGTATGGTACGGGGCTTATAGACCGACTTCTGTAGCAATGGCATGGCACATTTGGATAAGAACACACTACCAAGCCTTCGTGTGTTTGTTTCTGCATTGCTCTACAGCCAGTGCTTTGCGAGTCTTCTTTCTGGGTGGAGAAGGTTTCTGGAGCGACTTGCATTTGCTGCGTTGGTCATCAAGCACTCGGTGCACGACCTTGAAGTTTCCGATGCAGAAAGCTCAACATAGGCTAGTCGCTCCGAAAGCAATCTGAGCAGCTGCCGTGCGGATTGCCAGATTCTTCCAGTCATGCCGGCACTAGACGACCCCGCGACTGACAAGAAGATCGACTTGCGTTCCGTGTCTTAAGGTTGCTCGTCGCGTCCATCACCGGCTTCGCCTGCACGGTGGGGGAATACAGGCACCAGAACAAACCAGGCAGCAACAGGACCTGTGAGAAGGCAGACCGCAGCATCCGCCAAGAACACTAACAACCCATCTCACACGGATAGCCGAGGATACCAGCGAGGTGTCAGGAGGTGTCAGCTCGACGACGCATCAAAGCTTCCACACAAATGTGAGGTGCATGCGGTTGATCTGTGCTCAGAGAACGGACTCACACGGCATGGCCAAGTTGGCAACTTCTTCTTTGCAACATCCTACCCCCATATGTCGGAGAAGGAGGGGTTACTAGAGAACGTCAGGGCTGCGCTGGATTTCTCGAATCATCTAGTGCTCGAGAAGCCAGCAATCCCGAAGAGCAACCGCAAATGGAAGCACCGCGTGAGATCAGCCTCCAGTATAGCAACCCTGCTTAGTCTGGCTTTATCACATATCCAGCACGGACCAAAAAACCTGAGAGGGCCGTTTGCCACCTTCCATGATGGGACTGACTGGCCCTCGGGCTGTGAATAGAAGTGCACTTCTCAGTGTGCCTCGAGATTCTACGCCAAGAGACCGGCGCGACCTTGCAGGGCCATTCATGCTACCTTGTTGCCAGTTGACCTGGGGCCTACTTCGCAACCGCCAAAAGGTGAAAGAGGGAGAAGTCCATCAGCCGTACGGCCTTGCTGGCTTGGCAGCCTGCAGTTGCGTCAGTCACAGAAACCTGTAAAAAAGACCTGTTGAAAGCTTGTGCTTATCGACTTTGCGGGGACCCTTAGCAACATCACTTGCAGCAACAGCTAACGACAGACTCGCTGCAGCCTACAAATACCCGAGCTCAAGTAAACCAAACTCGACCAAACCCATGCCCATGAGTGGGACATGGCCTCACACGAAGTGACCGACTATCGATGTTGCGGCACCTTTTGGCAGAACTCCCACCTCACATCTGCTATGACGGTGACAAACAGAGAAATTGGCGATGTCCAGTCAGGCCAGCTGGAATACCGACAGCAAGACCCCAATCGGCACAGGCGTGTGTGCAGTGACACACAGGGAGCAAGTCGCGCCGCTGCAATTCCAAACAAATCATCGCTTTGGTGGATGATGTACCACAGCCTTGGTTTGTGCTACCTGCCTACGGAAGAGTTCAATGACTTGCCCCATGACTCACAGCTGCGGAGCTCGCACCGCGTGATCGACTAACGCGCGATTTGTGCTGGTGAAACAGACCAAATTTGGGGTGAGCCATGATGAAGGCAGAGCACCTTCAACGGGCGCCGTTCGTGCGATTTCACGGGCACACAAGTCTGTCCATCTTGTACGCAAAACTCGCAATGGAAAGCCGTCATGGCACACCAGCCAGTAAGTGAAGGCGGGAGCCATGCCAAACAGAAGTGCACTCTGGCCGGGCAGCCATAGCTCGCAGCCCTAGGCATGGGCTTGCGTGCGTGGACCAACACCGGATCTAAGATCCTCGCATTTTGGAACGTGGAGTGTGTGGCCACTACCGGCACGGCTCGGCCCCGTGACAGAAACCTCCGCAGCTCTTACGCAACTTGAGGGAAGTTAGGCAAATGAGTCGACGGGGCTATTGGTGTAACCATTGCTACAGTCCATCCTGAGTCCGACCACAGCTTATACCACGAAAGCTGCATAAGTATAAGTGGGTCCCATCGCTTTGCGAACCCTGGCTTGCGGAAGATGCCTGCAAGAAAATCACATCGGTCTGTGACATATTACACGTGGGTCTGCAAGCTCACGGCGTCATCTGCACCGGTTTCAAGCGCAGGCTCGGAATGAGCAGACGTTCTGTGCACGTTTGTCGGGCCTCGGTGCACTGCTTGCCGAAGACTTGGCAAGGCCTCTGCCCAAACTGAACGTGGTCACTGGGCATTTCCACTTCAACTCATGCACAAGCCCCTGCTGCTCGGTCTCTATTCAGCGGCTTGCTCTCCAAAGCAAGGCTCAGCGCCGGGCTGGCACGTGCAAAGACACTTGCAGCATGGTACTCAGGACTCTGTAAGGCTCGTATGGGCTTGGCGGGTATGAAAAAGTGGAAAGGAGAAGGGCGCGAAGGTTCCCTGCATGGGAATCTCCAGAGTCTGGGCCTGTCAGAAATGCCCGGTATTGCAAGCTGCGACAGAGCGGGTCACGCATTCGAGGCCGGCACTGCAAGAGCACCTCCCGGGCGGCCCAAGACGATGCTGGTGCCTGTGAAGGAAGACATAGAGACGGCCTCGCGAGGAGGCCTGCAACATCAGCAAGGACAGCAAAACGAGCGGCAACCTTCGAAGATGCGTGCCATGCAACCAAAACTTTCATCGCCAAAGCCTCGGGGCTGCGTGCCCAAGCTGCCCCAGCAACTGGGAGTCCACCCTGTGCTCTGCCATACCACTGAGCCAACCGGGCTCAGAAGCTGCCCAACAAGCGGACGGCTGTCGCTGGAAGACGGAGGTGGGATGAGGAGGCTGAGAAGAAGGCTCTCCGAGACGAAGAGAGCCGCGCAAGAGGTTGTAGGCGGCTCCAACAGACTTTGCCACCGTGTGAACATTCGATGCGGGCTCGGTTTCGGGATTCGCTTTGACACTCAACAGTTTCAAAATACAACTATTCGCAAAAGGACAGAAAGCTCGCATCTGTTGACAAAGCTCTCGGAACGCACGCATCGCCCCAGCACTGCTGCATTGTGGCAAGCAGGTGGGCCTGTCCTCGTCAAGAGGACGGAAGGACAAGACATGAACTGTGGTTTCTGCGCCAAGGAAGTTTCCAA